GGGCAGAGACGCCAGTCGCCCACCCTCGGCCTGGCCGAGAGACAGCATTGACTGAGTGAGCGAGCAACGACATATGTACATGTACGCCCTCCGCGGTCTTGATCGCCCAAACTTCCTCGCTCAAACGCCCTCCACGGGAAGCTAACCGCGTACGCGTGCACATGTTGCCGGCCTCTGACTGAACCCGACAGCGGCCGCTGTTGGGTAGGCGGCTCTCTCTTCCATGAACAACGTCCGCGGCGGCGCGGGCAGCAAGTCCCGCTGAAAAGGAACAGGAACTGATGTTGGGCATCGTGACCATTCTTTCCGTACCCATTTCGATCGTCCCGAGCTCCCGCTCCCGGAGGCTCGCCGCCGCGGCGTCGGCTCGGCGGGCCTCCTCGGCGGCCCGCGCCAGGCCCTCCTGCAGGCCCAGACCCCCCCCCAGGTCCCGAAAAAACATCGCGACGGGAGGTGATTTTCTCCATCTTCGGCCTCTCGGGGCCCTTGCCCGGCCTCGGGAGCGTCAGAAAACGACTCGGGATGAAAAACCAGTCCCAGGGAATGGGTCGAGACCTTTGGGGGTCGACGCTGTGGAACAATCATGGCGTCGGGGGTCTGGGGGGCCCGTGCCGTCATGTTTAAGAGAAGGGCCAGACCGAAGGGGCCCAGGGCCACACAAAGAAAACAGAGAGTCCCCATCTGTTTCAGATTTTTGGGGTTCTCGTCTTGCCGTTCACTTCCCAGGCCCGTGCTGACATGTTCGGGTGAAGGGCCAAACCGAATGGTCCCAGGGCCACACAACGAGATGAATACAAATCCAGGGAGTCCCCGTCTGTTCCAGATTTTCGGGATTCTCGCCTTGCCGTTCACTTCCCAGGCCCGTGCCGATATGTTTGGGAGAAGGGCCAAACCGAAGGGGCCCAGGACCACACAAAGAAAGAGAGACAAAGCCAGGGATTCTCCATCTGTTCCATATTTGCGGGATCATCGTCTTGCCCTCCACTTCCCGGGCTCGTGCCGATATGTCTGGGAGACAGCCAAACCGAGGGAGCCCAGGGCCACATAAAAATAGGTACAAGGCCAGGGAGCCCCCACAAGTTCCAAACTTGCGCGGTCATTGTCTTCCCCTCCACTTCCCGGGCTTGTGCCGACACGTCTAGGAGAGGCCAAACCGAAGGGGCCAAGGGACTTTTTACGTCGCAGCGCGGCAGGGGCAGTCCGCACGCGCGCTCAGGATGCCCAGGCAACGGAGAGCGCAAATTGACCGACGGCAGGAGGAGGGAAAGACAGGCGAAAGCGGCCGTGAGGGAGGAGGGAGGGAGGGGAGGGCACTCACATGGCAAGGTGCGTCGCCGTGTAGCGGCCGGGGCGGCCAGCCAGGGACACACACACACACACACAGACACAGACACAGACACAGACACAGACACAGACACAGACACAGACACAGACACAGACACACACACTGACACTGACACTGACACTGACACTGACACTGACACTGACACAGACACAGACACAGACACAGACACAGACACAGACACAGACACAGACACAGACACAGACACAGACACAGACACAGACACAGACACAGACACACAGACACAGACACAGACACACACAGACACAGACACACACACACACACACACACACACACACACACACACGCACACACACACACACACACATTCACACACAAACACACAACCGCTGGCCCAACGGGCCAGAGGCGTGCTAAGATCTCCGGCTGCTGGTAAACCGAATTTCCAGTTCGCGCGCGAGGGGCGGCTCCTGGGGGTTCCCAGACGAAAAGTACCCCGGCCGGTCCGACCCAGAGATGTTTTTCCTTCTGGGCGCGGCTGTCAGACGCCCAGAGCGCTCCTAGAGGGCCCCAAGTCCCCAAGACGGTCCAAGAGGGCTCCGAGTCGCCGACCGATAGGTCCAAGACGCCCAAGATAGCCTCCAGACGGCCAAAGACGCCCCCAAGACGCCCACAAAGGCCTCGAAGAAAGCGTCCCAAGAGGGCCCCAGGAGGCAAAAATCATAGATATCCCTTCGGCTTGTGACAGATTTTGGCGTTCTCATCTGTTCGGCTTCCCGACGCTCAAAGACGGCTCAAGATGCCCCAAATATCGCCCCATGACGGCCCAAGAGGCCTCCATGAGAGCCCCAAGAGGGCCCAAGAGGACCCCAAGACGGCCCAAGAGGCCTCCAAGACGGCCCAAGATTTCCCCAGGACGGCCACAAGAGGGGGCCGAACGGGGAACCCGAACGGACATTTCGAGCCCTCGGCCCCAAGAGGCGCCCAGGAGGCCCCAAGAAGCCCCCAAGAGCCCCCCGAGAGGCTCCAAGAGGCCGCGAAGAGCCCCCATGAGAACCCTACAAGAGGTCCCCCAAAGGCCCCCAGGTGGCCCCAAAGAGCACAAGACAGCCCCAGAGGCCTCCAAAGAACGCTCTGGAGGCCCTCCAAGAAACTCCAAGCGACGGAACCCGAACTGAGATTTCTAACCCTTCCCCGAAAGATCCTCCCAAAGCGGTGTCTTGTCCACGACCAAGTTTGGCCACATAATGCCACAAGAAGCCATTGGGAGGCCTCCACCTCCTCATCCTCATCCCCCCTTTTACTCCTCCTCCTCCTCCTCCTCCTCCTCCTCCTCCTCCTCCTCCTCCTCCTCCTCGCTCGCCACGATCACACATACATGTAGCACCAATGATGTGATATGGGCCGGCGGAGTGAGCGAAGCGATCCGCCGCCCCACCGGGTACGGCGTGTGAGATCCACAGCGTGGTCTTAAGTAGTGATTTGTGTAAGTCTTCTTTGTGGCGCGCGTTTCATACCTACCCCTGCCTCTGAGCCCTCGCAACCCCTCCTAAGGTCCTCCTCGCGCCTCCCTCATTCCGCCAGCCCGGAAGCCCCAGCTGCGGCCGGGGCGCCTTCTGGCCGCAATTTCCCTCCCAAGACGACCCCCCTTTCACGTGCTAGCCTTCCAGGCGCCGCCAGGCGCTCTCAGAGACCCCTCCAGGAGCCCACTCGGCCAGCTTTTCGGGCCTAACTGGCGGCTCTCCTGGGCTCATTTTCACCCTCCTTCAGGCCACTTTGAGCCGTTTCAGATGCCTTTCCACCTCCTTTCGAGCCACACCAGAACACACCAACAAGCAAATTACCCTGGCGACGTACCCAACCCCTGCGCAATGCGGGGCATGAGTAGCTTGGGAGACGTTATACGGAGGTGATGACGTGACATGGGCGCATATACTTCTGCGAGCGGCATTCGTGAAGCTCGCAGCCACCCAAGGATCGCGATGTCCCGCTCAGATCGGAAGCCAGGCAAGTGCTGCTAAATCCGTGGCTGCTAAAATCGACCTCCGGGAAGTTGTCTTCGTCCTTCCGGGAAGAAACCCGTTGACTGTTTCGCGTGCCGCGCCTAATTCCGGGAAGTTGTTTTTTTCATTAGGAAGGGCCGTTTTAGCATCCACGGTTTTAGCAGCCCTCGCCCCGCTTTCGATCAGATCTGCGCGGTGCCTCACTCCGCTGGACCCGCCACCAGCCTTCGAAAGTAGCGACAATTTCGCAGATCGCAGCCCCCATGGACGGCGAGGTCCCGCTCAGACCTGCGCGGTACCTCGCAGATCGCTCTGCTGTCCCTTCAAGCAGCCCTCGAAAATGGCAACAATTTCGCAGATCGCAGCCCCCAGGGACGGCGAGGTCCCGCTCAGATCTGCGCGGTGCCTCACTCCGCAGGACCCACCAGCAGCCCTCGAAACTAGCGACAATTTCGCAGATCGCAGCCCCCCAAGGACGGCGAGGTCCCGCTCAGATCTGCGCGGTGCCTCACTGCGCTGGACCCACCAGCAGCCCTCGAAAGTGCCGACGTTTTCGCAGATCGCAGCCCCAAGGGACGGCGAAGTCCCGCTCAGATCTGCGCGGTGCCTCACTCCGCTGGACCCACCAGCAGCCCTCGAAAGTGGCGACCATCTCGCAGATCGCAACCCCCCAAGGACGGCGAGGTCCCGTTCAGATCTGCGCGGTGCCTCACTGCGCTGGACCCACCAGCAGCCCTCGAAAGTGCCGACGTTTTCGCAGATCGCAGCCCCAAGGGACGGCGAAGTCCCGCTCAGATCTACGCGGTGCCTCACTCCGCTGGACCCACCAGCAGCCCTCGAAAGTGGCGACAATCTCGCAGATCGCAGCCCCCCAAGGGACGGCGAGGTCCCGTTCAGATCTGCGCGGTGCCCCACTCCGCTGAACCCACCAGCAGCCCTCGAAAGTGGTGATAGTTTTGCAGATCGCAGACCCCCAAGGACGGCGAGGGCTCGCTCAGATCTGCGCGGTGCCTCACCCGGCTGGACCCACCAGCAGCCCTGGAAAGTGGCGACAATCTCGCAGATCGCAGCCCCCCAAGGGACGGCGAGGTCCCGTTCAGATCTGCGCGGTGCCCCACTCCGCTGAACCCACCAGCAGCCCTCGAAAGTGGTGATAGTTTTGCAGATCGCAGACCCCCAAGGACGGCGAGGGCTCGCTCAGATCTGCGCGGTGCCTCACCCGGCTGGACCCACCAGCAGCCCTGGAAAGTGGCGACAATCTCGCAGATCGCAGCCCCCCAAGGGACGGCGAGGTCCCGTTCAGATCTGCGCGGTGCCCCACTCCGCTGAACCCACCAGCAGCCCTCGAAAGTGCCGACGTTTTCGCAGATCGCAGCCCCCCAGGGACGGCGAGGTCCCGCTCAGATCTGCGCGGTGCCCCATTGCGCTGGACCCACCAGCAGCCCTCGACAGTGCCGACGTTTTCGCAGATCGCAGCCCCCTAGGGACGGCCAAGTCCCGCTCAGATCTGCGCGGTGCCTCACTCCGCTGGACCCACCAGCAGCCCTCGAAAGTGGCAACGGTTTTGCAGATCGCAGCCCCCCAGGGACGGCGCGGGCTCGCTCAGATCTGCGGGGTGCCTCACTCCGATGGACCCACCAGCAGCCCTCGAAAGTGGCGACATTTTCGCAGATCGCAGCCCCCCAAGGACGGCGAGGTCCCGCTCAGATCTGCGCGGTGCCTCACTCCGCTGGACCCACCAGCAGCCCTCGAAAGTGGCGACAATCTCGCAGATCGCAGCCCCCCAGGGACGGCGAGGTCCCGCTCAGATCTGCGCGGTGCCTCTCCACGCTGGAACCACCAGCAGCCCTCGAAAACGGCGACGGTTTCGCAGATCGCAGCCCCCCAGGGATGGCGATGTTCCGTTCAGATCTGCGCGGTGCCTCACTCCGCTGGACCCACCAACAGCCCTCGAAAGTGGCGACACTCTCGCAGATCGCAGCCCCCCAGGGACGGCGCGGGCTCGCTCAGATCTGCGCGGTGCCTCACTGCGCTGGACCCACCAGCAGCCCTCGAAAGTGGCGACAATCTCGCAGATCGCAACCCCCCAGGGACGGCGAGGTCCCGCTCAGATCTGCGCGGTGCCCCTCTCGGCTGGACCCACCAGCAGCCCTCGAAAGTGGCGTCAATTTCGCAGATCGCAGCCCCCCAGGGACGGCAAGGTCTCGCGGGAGACAGGGGGCGGGACACAGGAGGTGGGAGGCGGGAGGAAGGAAGGACGGACGAGCAGTGCTCTATTCAAAAACGAATACCTTACCAAGGAGGACCGGGAAAAACATTGCAAAACACATAATAGTTTGATGATGCTGGCCTTCTCGCACTTCTCATTGCGCCTCTCCCGGAACTTTCGCCACCCCTCACGAGGATCGTGGCCTCCGAGGGGGGAGCCGCAATCGACTAGCCCCCCTCCCGCCCCAGGAGGCCTTGCAAGAGGCCCTGGGGGCCCCCAAGACGCCGCCAAGGAGCCCCAAGAGACCCCCAAGAAGTCCCCAAGAGGCCCCCAAGAGGCCCTAAAGAGGGCTCCAGGGCCAGCGGAATGATCGAAGCGATTAAATACACACAAACACCAATATTCCCAGGATTCCCCTCATTTTATGGATTTTCCTTTTCCCCTCCACTTCCCACATGTTCCATACTTTCCTGGAGATCGACGTTTGTTTGTGCCTGTGTGTGTGTGTGTGTCTGTGTCTGTGTTTGTGTCTTGTCTGTGTATGTGAGTGTGTGCTTTCTTGCCGCCCAACGTATCCCCAGGATAACGTACCCCCAGTGAAGTGTCGCCGCGGCCACGATTCCAGCCACGCTGGGCGCCGAAACGCAGCCGATGGGCGCCCCAGGGTGGGCCCTGAGGCCCCCTCTCTCTCCAGGGTGCGCCTCCTCTGGAGCGCGTGTAAAAAAACTGCATAAACACAAACTGTTTGCGCTCCGCGCGGGGCGCCAACAGTCTATGTTTACACAATTTGTTCTACCGATGTTTTTCCGATATGTATGCTTTATGCTTATGCCGCTTTATGTTCATGTTTATGCTTATGTTTATGCCGATGTATGTTTATGGTTATGTTCATGTTTATCTTTACGGGCGTCGGATCGGGCTGCATCGCCCACGGGGTCGAGATCGAGCCGGAGCGGCCGCGCCAGGAGGGACGGGAGAACGGCGCGCGGTCGGCCCTGTGGGAAAGAGAGGCGAAGAGGTGCGATGGGACCCCCACCCAACAACACACACAACCACACGCACACGCGCACGCACACACTCACGCACACACTCACACACGCACGCACTCACACGATCCACAGAACACGACAAACACACACACAAACACACACGCACACGCAACACAAACACACACACGAAAACACACACACACACAAACGTCACGCACACATCACACACATCACACACAACACACACATGACACACATACGCACATACACACAATCACACAATCACGTAATCACACACACGCACACACGCACACGCGCACGCACACGCTAATACACGCACACACAATATACACAACACACACATAGACACACAAACACACACACACACACACACGCACGCAACACAACACACACAACACACAGACACACACAAACACACGCAACACACACACACACATCACACACAACACACAACACACACATAGACACATATTCACAATCACACAACACACAGACAAACATACACACAGACACACACAGACCCACAGACACTCTCACACTACACCCACATACGCACACGCACACGCGCACGAACACGCACACACACGCACACACAACACACACACACACACACACACACCTAACACAACACACACACATACACACAGCACACACAGCACACACAACACACAACCACACAAACACACACACACACTACAAACGTCACACCCCTACACGCATACACACAACACACACGTCACACACATACACACATTCACACAATCACATAATCACATAAGCACACAATCACACAGACCGACACACCGACGCACAGACACACCGACACACATCCATCACACACGTGCACACGCACACGTACTTGTACATGAACACGCACGCACAATCATATACACAGGCAGACACAACACAGGCAAACATACACACAAACAAAAACACACACAACACACAACGCACACAAACACATACACAAACACACACATACACACTCCAAGCGCACACACAGCACACACAAATACGTATAATTCCACGCACATACACACAAGAACACACCGCACACACAATACACACAACACAAAACACACACAAACACACACACACGCACACATCACAACACACACACAAACACACACACACACACACACGCACACAACACACACACACATCACACACAACACACAACACACACACATCACAGACATACACACACACTACCAAACAATCACACACAGACTCACATACACACAGACACACAGACACACAGAGGCACACACAGCACACACACATACGAACACGTGCACGCACACGCACACGCACACACACGCACACAGACACAGACACACACACATACCACGCACATCACACATACACGCACACAGCACACACAACACACATCACACACAATACACACATCACAACCCTCCACACATACACACATACAGACAACAGACACACATCACACATACACACATCCACACAATCACATAATCACACAATCACACAGACAGACACACACACACAGACACACACACACACATATCACACACACGCACACGTACTTGTATATGCACACGCACACGCAATCGTATACACAGACACACGCACAGCGCACACAAACACACACACACACACAAACACACACACAACCACACACAACACACAGCACACACACAAACATATACACTAACACACATACACACACCACAAGCACACACACACATCACACACACATACGTACAATCACACGCACATACACACAGCGCACACACCATACACACAATACACACAATACACACAACACACGCATCACAACACACACACACACACACATACACACACGCACGCACACACAAAGGACGGACAAACACACGCAAACACACACACACACACACGCACACACCACACACAACTCACAAACTAACGCATACACGACCACACACACATACACACAACACAAGCACACACATCACACACAAATACATACAATCACGCGCACGTACACAGACAGCACACACACCATACACATATACACATACACACACACAATCACACAATCACGCACTCACACACAGACACACAGACACACAGGTGCACACACACAGCACACCCACACACACACACGCACACGTGCACGCACACGCACACGCGCACACACACACGCGCGCACGCACACAACACACACACAACACACAAACACATACAACGCACACACATCACACACATACACATGTACACATACAATCACATAATCACATAATCATACAATGACACACAGCCACACAGACGTACAGACACACACACACAGAAACACACACACAGACACACAGACACACTCCATGCAGGCACACAGGCACTCACACCGACATACAGACACACAGACACGCAGACACACCGACAGAGACACAGAAACACACAGACACACAGACACACAAAGACACACACAGACAAACAGGCACACTGACACACACGCACGCACACACACACATGCACCCGCACACGTACACGCACATGAACACGCACACACATTCACAACCCCCCCCACACACGCACACGCACACACAACAAACAGCACACAATCACAAACAAGCACACACACATACACACATACACACAACACGCACACACACACATCACAAACACATACACACACAATCACACAATCACATGAACACGCACGCAGACGCAAAGACGCACAGACACACAGACGCACACACACAGACACAGAGGCACACAAACACACAGAAACACAGACACACAAGCACGCACACACACATGCACCCGCACACGTACACGCACACACACGCACACACACGCACACGCACACACAATACACAAACACACACAAGCACACACACAAACACACACAATCACACATACACACAACACACAAACACACATCACACACATACGCACAATCACACACAGGCACACAGACACACAGACACACAGACACACAGACACACAGACCCGCAGACCCACAAACCCACAGACACACAGACACACCCCCAGGCACACCCACAGACACTCACAAACACACAGACACACAGACACACACACACACAGACGCACACACACACAGATACACGGACACACAGACACACCCCCAGACATACAGACACACACAAACACACACGCACACATGCACACACATACAGACAGACACACACAGGCACACACACACACAGGTACACACACAAACACAAACACGCAGACACACGCACACACCCATAGCCCCCCCCCCAAAGAATTCCACCCTGAGAAAGCAGGGGGTCGCCTTGGTAATTATAGGCGTTGGCAGCACGTGAAGGAAGCACGGCAGCGACAAGCAAGCATCGGGAAGTCGGAATCTGGGAATCGAATCGGGGCAGCAGGGATCGATCTCGGATCGAACTGACCGGATCGACACGGATGCCGTCCTGCCGGCCCTCCTGGAACGCCTGCTCGACGGCAACGAGGGCCTCGGCCTTCACCTGCTCCAGCTCGTGGGCGAGACCGTGCTCGCCGGCGGTCCCCTGGTAGAGAAGGCACCCCGTGCATCACCATCGTCCCGTGACAGGGGTATGCTGGGCCCTGGCATGGTGCAGACGCCCTCCTAGCCGAGGCCAGGAGTGTTAACACTCGAATCGGGGATCGGCTACAGAATTGATGCAAGTACCCCAAGCTTGATTCCCCCCTCGAACGTTCGAACACATCAAAAACCACACTTAGCAAAACTCCACCCAGTTGCGGGGACCAGGGGGGGCAATCAAAATTCGGTTAGGCGCGCTGGTCGGTCTGGGTGGACGGGCACCGCCTCGCGACCTACGACGGGGAGCGCTGGTCATGCGAAACACGTGGGGCGCCAAGCGTTGCAACTATCAGCATGTTTCACGGCGGGGCTAAGCGGCTGCTGCAACAGGAAATGATAGCGCGAACTGCCGCTTCATCCGTGGAGGGGGGATCCAGCACGGAAAAGAATTCGAAGGCGTGGGGCGTCTGGCCAGGCATTTACTTACGGCACGCATAGAACCGATCGCGGCGACAAAACTTGGCGAGACACGGGGATGAGGTGGAAGTGGAGGGACATAATGAAAGAGGCTGCTAAGGCACGGAGACACGAGACGAGGGAGGAGATCACGCCTGAGGCAAAGCGGCGCCCCAAAGCACAGAAAACACTGGGGTCATCATACTGGGGCAGAGGCGGGGAAGGGCAGCGGGCAGTGCGAGGCGGAAAAGGACAGCGGCCATGCAGGTGGTTTCGCTGAGCTTGAGGAAGTGGGGAGTCGGCGGGGAGCGGCCCTGGGGACGGGGCCTCGGAGATGGGCAGCACAGGCAGCCGATGCTTCGCCAAAAGGGGACACGTACAGAACTACACTTAGCGGCCGGGGCACGGTACACGTCGGGAGCGCGAGTCGCGCCCCCGACATGTACCCCGCCCCGCTGGCTAGGTGTAGTTATATGAGTGCTCTGTTTTGTGAGGATGTCCCCGGCGAAACCAGCACGTACAGAACTACACCTAGCGCCTGGCTAAGTGTAGTTCTGAACGTGCTGGATGTCTCGAGCGGGGCGAGCACGTATAGACCGGCACCTAGCAAAAGTGGCAGGGTACAGGTCGGGGGCGTCGCCGCGCCTCCCCGCAGAGTCAGGAGGGCAGGGGCCACTGAAATCCCAGCCGCCCTCAGGGCGGCGGAGGCTGGACGTCCCAGGGATGCCCGAAAGTGACCCAACTGCGGCCAAGGGCACGCAACGAGGTCCCTGGGGGCCCCAAGAGCGCTCCACGACCTCCAGCCGCAATCTGAGGTCGTAGCGTCTTGGGGGTCTCCTGGGGCGCTTGGCGGGGTCTTGGATTCTTCCTGGGGCGCTCGGGAGGTCCCAGGAGCGCACCTGCTCGCCACGACATCTGGTCTCGATCTGGAGGTCGTGGCGTCTGGGGCCCCCGTGGGGCGTTTTGGGGGCACTGGGGGGTCCTCCTGTAGCCCATCATGGGTCCCACGAGCGCTGGTGGTCGCTACGACCTCTGACCTTGTTCTGGATCCCTCCATCCTCTTTGCCCCCCCCCCGTGATCAGGGCAACTCGCCTGGTGACGATGTTTCGAGGATTCTAAAAGATATGCGCGCTCCGCCTCCGCCTTCTAATCGCGAGTTGTTATTTCTGATTCCACGCCGACTCTGGCTAGCGACGTCGAGGCCCTCGCAAATCCGACAAACGCGATGACCCCCCTCGAATGGCGGGCAAAACAAACTTTGGAACGATAGCCCAATTTTTTTTTGAAATTTCGGGATCCGCGAGAGAAACTAATCCACTCGCCCAAAGTGTAGCTCTCTATCTGTCCGAAACGTACGAGACATGCGTAGATTGTTTATGTAGATCTGCGCATCATACGCATGGTTCGCAGATTCGACAGAAGAATCCGTTCTGGGTAAGATTTAATTCTGCAGTCGATCCCCCTCTCGAGCCCCCCCCACGAGGGCCCAGGGATGGCCTGGCCAGACATCTTTTTTGGCGGCGAGCGAAGGGGGGAAGTGAGAAGGAGAAGGCCTTCTCAGAAGGCTCGAAAGTCCCCCGACCTCCTGAGCAGCTTTCCGAGCCCTCCCCGAAGACAGAGCAAGCTTCCCAGAAGGCGCGGGGGGGCAAGTCCCGCCGCCGTCTCGGAGGGCCTTCTCCTCAGGTCGGGCGTGCCCCCCATACAGGCGGATCTTGCAGGACAGGTCAGGACGCGTCAAGACACACCACCCCCACAAATGGCCAGACACAGCCGAGCACATCCCTCCCCCGGCCTGCTCTTTTGGACCACTGCTGCACAGTCCTCCGGTAGGGGGGGCGCGCCCGCCTTGCTGGTCTGGGTAGTCGGAGCCAATCCGGCGCCAACCTGGCAGGCCCAATCTGGCAAGCGGGGGCAATCTGGCGAGGGAGCCAGCGCGAATCCAGTCTGGCGAATAACCCAGATCATTCGGGTCGGGCGAAAGGGGGGGATTGGGAAAGGGGGGGTTACGAAATTTGCTGCATGCAGCTGGTGTCGGCCTCACCGAGGGGCCCATTCCTCGATACATTGTCGCCTCCGGCGCCGGGAGGCGCCGGGAAAATCAGCTAAGGGAGCTGATTCTCAAACCCCCCCTTTGCTATCCCCCCCTTTCGCCCGACCCGAATCATCCAGTTTGGCCAGGCCAGATTGGCCCTTGGGGCCCAATCCAATCTGACAGTCTGGCCTTCGACTGCCTAGCTGGTGGGTGCTGTGGCTGCTCTCGGCCGGCCGCCTGCCCGCACGCCTCCGCGGCGGCGTCCGCCGCCGCCGTCTGCGCCAGCGCCTCGGCCGCGTCCGCCCCATAGGCCAGGTGCAGCAGCCCGTCCTCCGAGGCGGAACGAGACTCGATCCTCACGAACGTCCAACTCCTCTCCTCTCCTCTCTCCCTACCTCCTCCTCCCTCCCTACCTCCTCCTCCTCCTCCTCCTTTCCTCCTCCTCCTTTCCTCCTCGTCCTCCTCCTCCTCCTCCTCCTCCTCCTCCGCCTCCTCCTCCTCCTCCTCCTCCTCCTCCTCCTCCTCATCATCATCATCATCATCATCATCACCATCACCATCATCATCATCATCATCATCATCATCATCATCATCATCAGCAGCATCAGCATCAGCATCAGCATCAGCATCAGCATCATCATCATCATCATCATCAGCATCAGCATCAGCATCAGCATCAGCATCAGCATCAGCATCAGCATCAGCATCAGCATCATCATCATCATCATCATCATCATCATCATCATCATCATCATCATCATCATCATCATCATCATCATCTTCGGGATCGGGGGCGGCGAGAGTGGCGTCCTCTTCCCGGCGGACTTCAAAGACGAGCTGCCTCTGCCACCACCGTCGGCCGACCGTTGCATTGTCTGGTGCAGGGCGCGCAAGGACCGCTCGGGTGCACCTCGCTGCCTTCATTCTCCCGCGCCCCTATCCTTCGCCCCTGAGATTAAGGCGCCCAATCTGATGACGCGGGCGCGCTGGTGGCTCCGATCGCAAAGCTTGGCGCGTCTGCCAGGAGGCAGCTGCTGGGAGGTCGTCGCCGGAAGGACAGAGGAGGATTCAGCCCCCTTGGCGGGCTGGTCTGCTGGGAGGCAACTGCTGTTAGGTGGGCCTGTCTCCCTACAGGCGGAGCTTGGACGAGAAACAGCAAATACGCCCAACAAAATGCTCGAACATAGCCAAAACAAACTCAAAAAATCGTCCCCTGACTATTTTTCTAATATCTTAGAATGTTCCTCCTGTAGAGGGACAGGCCCGACTTAAAATTACTGGGAAGTCTTTGTCGGAAGGATTGAAGAGGATTAAGCTCCCTTGGGGGGCTGTTACGCCGGAGTGGGCCTCGGATTCAGCAGGATTGAGCGGGATGAAGCTGGAGTAAGCGTGATTCAGCCGGATTGGGCCGGATCTCGGACCAGGGCAAAATCAGAATTTGCCCTGCCAGGAGTTGCATCCGAAGGTCTGCGCTGGATTGGATCGCGAAACCGAGCCAGATCGAGAGTGGATCGAATCGCCACCGAATCGTCCCGAATCGGATCGGTATCGAATTGCCGCGCCCCGCTTCCATCTGGCCCTGGCCGATGCCGGTGAATAGAGCCGGATCGCATCGAATTGGAATCGCGGCCCCCGCCGGCGAATCGAATCGCATCGAATCGGATCGTGGGCGGCCCTGCTTGGACGTTCGGAAAGAATGGGGGGAACCCTGGGATACAGTCGGACCAAGGCCAGAGGGACATCCTTCAAGAACATGAAGCCCTCCGTCGGCCAAAACAACAAAGAGAACATCCAAGGGATTCCAAGGGTAACCTCCCCAAGATGCACAAGAACATCCAAAAGAACAGTAGGGTACCCTCCCCGAACCAACCTCGATCTTCTACCTCGGTCCGACTGTACACCACAAGGGGGCCATTCGGACGCACCCCTATCGAGGATGGACGCCCCCGAATCGATATCCCAGGGTTGGGCTCCAATTTCCTAGTTCGTTCGAAAACCTCTCAAAGCTTGGGGTAGGGGTTGGCACATCCCCTGTTACGTCCTCCCCCAGGTGCTTCTCGAAGACTGCCGAGATGTGGTCCTCCGGGTGCAGCTGAACGCCGTCGGCGAAGAGGTTGGTCCTGCCCCAGCCGTCGGCGGTCATCCCCGGGGAGTCGAGGCGCTTGTACAGGAAGCTCTTGACCTGCCTGCAGGCCATGGTGCGCGGCACCAACAGCTTCGTGTTGATTCCGGGCAGGCCTGGCTTGGGCGCCTGCCTGCAGACCACGGGCACACGGCCTGGGTGTTTTTGTTTTTGTTGTTGTTGCTGCTGCAGCTGTTGTTGGTGTTGTTGTTGGTGGTGCTGTTGCTGTTGTTGTTGTTGTTGCTGTTGCTGTTGCTGTTGCTGTTGTTGTTGTTGGTGTTGCTGTTGTTGTTGTTGTTGTTGTTGTTGTTGTTGTTGTTGTTGTTGTTGTTGAACATTATTAATTCTAAAGAATAATTATTGTTGGGACCCCTGGTGCACGGCCCCCCCGCCGCGCCTAGGCCGCAGCTACATTTTCATCATTTTTTCGATCGAAAGCTTCAGAAAAGTGGATGGGGTCCAGATCCGGTTGTTTTGTTGTAATCCGTTTTCCCTTGCAAAAAACACTATAAAATGACATTTCTTGTTCTAATATAATCAAATTTCAAGAATCCCTTGCAAAAAATAAGGTAAAGTGGACATTCGCGCGCGCAAGACGAAATCCTTCCAAAAGCTTAGTGTTCGGAGCGATTTTAACATAAAAACATCAAAAAACCAATGGTTTTTCAACAAAAAAATGTCAAAATCTCATCCCGCGCGCTCTTGCGGATTCGTAGGAAACCCAACACTTTTTAAACATTTCTGTCAAACGGGCTTTTGCGAGCAACTTTTTCGAACTTCTGCGACAACGGTTGCGCACCTGCCAGGGCCATCATCCCTGTCAAATAATACCATGCGGGACACATTCGTTTTTTCTTCGCGCGCGCACGCCGAAATCTCCAAAAACCATTGGGTTCTTAAGAATTTTAGCACCGCGCATCATAAAATCACACGAATCGCACCGTAGGTCCTCGAAAAACACCTGCACGACTTTTCAAAATTTCCACCCGCGCGCGCTGTCCGAATCCTAAAACAACCAATGGTTTTCCAACATTTATGTTACATGAGCTCGCGCGAGCTACTTTCGCACGCTCTTGCAACGGGGTTCGCGCGCCTGCCAGGGGCCATAATCCCTTGCGGTTGCGCCATAGGTTGCGCCCTCGGCCGCCGAGAATAAAACGCCCCCCTATTGGTTGCGCCATAGGTTGCGCCCTCGGCCGCTGAGAATAAAACGTCCCCCTACTGGTTGCGCCATAGGTTGCCCCAGGAGGCCTTCAAGAGGCCCCAAGAGCCCGCCGTGAGGACCCAATAAGCCCCCAAGAGGCCCCAAGATGCTTCCAAGAAGCCCCCCAAAGCCCCTCAAGAGGACCCCAAGCGGCGCCAGGAGGCTTCCCCCCTTCCCCAAGAGGACCCCAAGCGGCCCCAGGAAGCCTCCGACTGATCACTGTCACATCCGTAGCCATCTCGGATCAAGGTATCGCCTGTGTTCTTGGATGGGTCATGGCTTTGTCGGCGAAAGCCCTTGACGACCAGTATGGCCCAGAGCTGTCGCGGCCTCCCTTGGCCGACTGCGAGAGCCCGTATTATTTGCATCAGGCGCTCGTTGCAAAGGGTATCCAGGTCAGTCACCAGGCGTGCAAGACTTGGTGGGGCAAATATCGGGTTGTGCCTGGCAAGGTTAGTATTTCTAGCGCCCAGGAGCTGGAGGAGCAGCACGGTTCTGCCATCCGCCACCTGGGCATCGAGTATAATACACCTTTCAAATTATGCGGGGCGCTCCGACAGTTGGATCCACCACTGTATGTGACAGATCAGGTCGCAAAGATGTGGCTACTGCAGTATTCTTCCAAAGAGATCCAGAAGGGCGGGTACTGGGCACGCTCGCGTATGTGCTCGAGCAGCTCAGCGCCACCGCCGGCATACGTGACTGGACACGCGACGTATTCGTCCGGCACGGCGAGTGGATGTATGCCGGCCTTCGCAGGATCTTGGATCGACTTCGTATTCGCGTTCACGCCGAGGTCGTATCGGGGCTTTCGTATAGGGCCTTGATGAGCTTGGACGTATTCATCGCCATTCACGCGCCATCCATGGGGTATGAGCCGCAGGGTATGGCACTGTGGGTTGCCGCGGGCGAGCCCGGGGTATACCCGACACAGGACCAATGGTGGCACCAGGACGTATACCGACCGTGGGGCCAGTCGCCGCATGGGAATCTAATGGACTACCGACTGGACCTCGGTATCACGGTGCAGGTCCCGGGCGTCTTGGCGGTATTTCCTCTCGCAGCCACGGGCCCGGCATCCGCGAGCAGGCGTATGAGCATCGTGCTCGGACACATCCCTGATGTCGCCATTGCGACGCGTATGGCCTCCGTGCTGCCACCTGTCCAGCCTCAGGTATCGCCGCGGATTGGCGCCATCACGGACGGGACCCAGGAGGAGGAGCCTTCGCGTCTGTAGGCTGTATGCCGTTGGCCGCTCATGACAGTATGAGTGCCGTTCCGTATGCCGCATGCCCTTGGCCGCTCATGACAGTATGAGTGCGCTCTGGCAGTATGCTCCCTGTTCCCCCGCCGGCACTGTTCGCCGAGGCTGGGCGATAGAAAAAGAAAGTATGGCAGCATCGCGACAACCATCGGGACAACCATCGGGACAACCATCCGAACAACCATCGGGACAACCAGCGGGACAATCATGTGGACAACGATCGGGACAACCATAACCATCAGGACAACTATCGGGACAACCATGGGGACGACGATCGGGACAACCACGATCATCAGGACAACCATCGGGACAACCATCGAGACAACCATCGGGAAAACCATATCGTCTCTCTCTCTCTTGTGTATTCCCACATCCCTCAGGAATTTGCCCTAAAGATGTGATCAACCATCTTGTGCGTACGTACCATGATCATGTGTACCATGTACCCTACGGGTCATATGCAACTGATGCCTTTGCGTATTCCCACTTCGGCACAGGAATTTGATTAAAAAATGTGACGAACTCCTCTCTCTCTGTCTCTCTCTCTTTGTCTCTCTCTCTCCCGCTCTCTTCCTCTGTCTCGCCTTCTCTCTCTCAGTGTCTGTACCATGTCTAGCACTGGTAACAAAGGTATTTGTGTATCCCCACATCCGCCCAGGAATTCCACAAATGTGACCAACTATCTTGCGAGTACGTATCATCTCATGTGTGTCGTGCACACTATCAAATGTAACAGAGTTGTGTATTCCCATCATCCCAGGAACTTGACCCAAAAATGTGACCAACTCCGCTCTCTCTGTCTCTCTCTCTGTCTGCTCTCTGTCTCTCTCTCTGTCTCTCTGTATTATGTATTGTATGGCACAATTGCACCATGCTGGGCACATGCGCGCCCCGAATAAGTGACCAAGTTCTGTGGGTGTGTACCCCACGCCAGTGTAGTAGCCACGGTCGTCCGCACGCCACGAAGTGAAGTGTCCCAACGTCATAGGGCGGGAAGCTGGGTTTGGGTGGTCGCGAAGAGTCGTTTGGATATTTGGTAGAGCTTGTAATGCCCCCCCACGAAGTGGGGGTATTGCCTGGTGTCGTATGAAAACCCTGGCACTGGGGAGAACACCACGCGTTCGGGTAAAATGATTGTTGTTGTTGTTGTTGTTGTTGTTGTTGCTTGGTGTTGCTTGGTGTTGCTTGGTGTTGCTTGTTGGTTCGCTTGTTATTTGTTGTTTCGGTGTTTTTAATGGTTTTGCCAGTTCTATGTTTTTGTTATTCCTATGTTATTACTGTTTTTGCGCGGCCTGGGTGCTTCTCGCGGAGCCTCGCGGCAACGTCGGCGTCGCCCTGGGCGCCCGCGTCTCCCCAAGAAGGGTCGCCGCAGCCGGCCTCGACCTCGAGGTCCCGGTCCGGGAGGTGAAAGAAGGCGAACCCGCCGCACGCCGCCTCCTGCTGCTGCTGCTGCTGCTCCTGCTCCTCCACCCTTCCTGTCCTCTTCCCCCTCGCCGTCCTCGTCGTCCTCCTGCTCCTCGTTCTGCTCCTCGTCCTCCTCGTTCTCCCCCTGGTCCGTCTCGCGCTCTTCCTCCAACTCCTCCTCCTCCTCCTCCTCCTCCTCCTCCTCCTCCTCCTCCTCCTCTTCATCCTCCTCCTCCTCCTCCTCGCACGCGCCCTCCTCCTCTCCACATCTCCGACGACCGAACTTCTTGGAGGGAAGCGCCCAACCCCTTCGGATTTTCCAACCGTTCCCCCATGAATGGCCTTCTGCAATCTGAAGGTCCCCCTGGACTCGGGAACTGCCTCCCGGAGGGCCCGAGACAACCGCGCAGAGCCTCTGGCGCGACTGCTGCCGAAGTCGCCTCCCGAAGTCTGCCCCCCCCCCCCCCTCCCCGGGGCCTTCGAAATCGATCCCCGGACCACGTCCAGCACCGCACCCCGACCAGAATCTCGAGGCGGACCCAGCGGGTGGCCACCAGGGCGTCGGGCGGGGTGGGCGGGGCAATAATGTGCGGTTCCACATGGGGTGGGATCATAAATCGGGCGGATCGGATCGGGTCGGGTGGAACCGTAGAGTGCAATTAAGAACCCCACCCACGGACACCCACAACACACACATCTATATCTATATATATGTATATATATATATGTATATATATATATATAGATATACCTATATCTATATATATATAGATCACTCGTAACCAGAATATATATATATATATATATAAGAATACGAAAAACAGTACTAATAATAAGTCTATGATCGCGCCACGGAGGTGGCTCAACATAGCGACATGCTTAACACTGAAACAATGGCATAACGAATCAAACTGTAATATGCTTGCGCAACCGGAGGATTGGAGTTTGCAGTTTGACTACATAAGATGGCAATGCTACTGAAATCAACATACATCCACATTTGGATCGTGCTATATCGTTGTGGTGATACCTACAAACCAACACGTGATCCTGACTTGGAAACAACACATGGCCGCGTCCGTTGTGTAACGTTGCCAACTCGCGGCAATCATGTACCCGTTTGGCGGGCATGTTGTGTGACCCCTCTCGGGAATCCTCGGTCCCAGGGGGGGGCCCTCGGGAGCCCCATGGGGCTGATGTGACCCGGTGTTTGCCCCGTGAACTCGACGGGGCTTTGTGACCTCGTGTCGGCCATGGCCGCCGATCCAATCCATAGCCCTCGTAACGCGAATACGGTGCCAGATACATCGTATCCGGTGCTGCACTTACTTATTTGGTCTGCACATGGGTATGATATATAAGTTAACCGTTGTGTTTGCGTCATTCGCGTACTCGGATTTTCGATACGCTGCCTCGCGGGTATCCCACTACAGGGTATGGCACAGCCCGCGCGCGCACCGTAATGGAGCACATGAACGGCAAAATAAATACTTGATGCCACGAGCGCCACTGTATCATTGCTGTGAAAATGAGAACCGTGTTGTTCAACAAACGTTCACGCGACCACTGATGCGAACATGATAGGGGAACGAGTAATGACATAAACATACAAAACTCGGAGTTTGGCGCGGACCTCCGAGTTCGTATGCCTATGCCATTGTTTCGTCCCCCTGATGAACAACACGTGGCGTTTCGCAGTGTATGCTTACATCATTCCCACGTGCAGGGGCTGAACAAATTCTGCTTCCCTGGGGGACTGCGCACGGAGGGTACAGCACAGAAGGCACGCACAGTGGTACGCACCAGACAGGTTACACAGGAAACGGTCGGGCTGTCGCCCGGGCTTCGCCCTCCTCCCCCTCCCCCCTTTCGTCCCCTGTCGCTTGCCCTCCTGCTCCCCCCCCAGCTCCGAGCTCATCCTGGGTCCCGGGTGTGGTTCCCTCCTCTCACTGCTGCGGTTGCTCTCCCGGGTCGTCCACCTTGAGGGCAATTTTGGCGAGTGGGGTATGCATGACGAGGTTGGTAAGTCTTTCCTGTGCATGGAGCCAGCCACACTGGAGGCTTCGCATCGCCGGTGGTTGTTGTTTCACCCCCTCTTTGCCAATGCGCCTCTGACGTGCACGGCTTCTCTCTCAATCCCTCTCTCGGTCTCAACGGATCAGTGCCGCGGAGATGAGGGCCCTATGGTGTCGTAGCGGCTCACGCCGTCGAATACGAGAACCCGAGTGATGTCACAAGAACCACGGCTGCGCATATGAAGTTCGCCGGCCCAGCGGGCCAAAGGCGTGCTGAGATCTCCGGCAACTGGTGCACAGAGTATGTGTGCAGTCTATAGATCGCGCGCGAGGGGCGGCCCCTGAGGGTCCCCAGACGACAAGTACCCGGCCGACTCCCGGCCCTGGCAAAGTCCTGACCAAGTCCCGGCGGGGTACCGGTCGGGGGCGGGCAAGAGGGGGGGGGGCCAAATCATGGCCAGGGGCATGTGCGCGGCCCAGGGGGGGGGGGGGGGGGCGGGGAAGTATTGAAATAAGAAGAGGCGCCATGAAGTCTGGGGAGATATCATGGCCCCCGCCATGAGATCCCCCCCCCTATTCATCACCCCCCTCTTAGCCGCCCCCGAGCCGGCAAGGTCCCGGCAAGGTCCGCTCCAGGATGCCGGAACTCGCGGGGGCGGTTTTCGGGGCCCTCCAGATCGCCCCAGGAGCGGCCCAAGGAACTTCAAGGCAACTCCAAAAAGGCCCACGAATCCGAATCACGGCCCAAGAGCGCTCCAAGACGCCCAAGATCGCCCCAAGACAAGAGGCCCCAAAGACGCTCCAAGAGCGCTCCAAAATGATCCGACAAAGGGCCACAAGAAGCACAAATCGTTGATCTTCTTTTGTTTTTCTATGTCTTTCGCGTTCTCGCGTTTTCGAATGTCAGACGCTCCAAGATGGCCCCAGAGGCACCCAAGACCGCCACAAGATGGCCCGAGAGGCGCCCAAGAGGGCCCCAATACGGTTCAAGAGCGGCCCAAAGCGGCGCCAGAGACACCTAAGACCGCCCCAAGACAGCCCGAGAGGCCCCCAAGAGGGCCCCAAGACGATCCAAGAGGGCCTCAAAACGGCTCCAGAGGCGCCCAAGATCGCCCAACAGGGCCCCACAAGACGGCCCCAAGAGGTGCCAAGAGGGGGAACACGAACCAGCAACTCGAGCCTTCCGCCCCAAGAGGCCCCGAGGAGGCTCCAAGAGGCCCCCAATAGAGCCCAGGAGGCCCCCTGGACGCCCCACGAGGCCCCCAAGAGGCCCAAAAGGAGGCCCCAAGAGGCCACCAAAAGGTCCCCAAGAGGTCCCACGAGACCTAAGAGGCCACGAACGCGCAAGCAAACGCCTGCGATGGCACAATATGTGCTGGCGGAATGAGCGACGCGATTAATCATGTATGGCTTCCGTGGCGGAGGTATGCGCTGCTGCGACGATGAGACGCGTGGCATTTCGCCCATGAAGGTATTGAACAATTTCTGTTTCCATGTGGGGCTGCACGCTGAAAGGTATAGCACACCCCGCACGCCCAGGGTCATACAGCACAGGAAATAAGCACAGTCTGCGTGATTCCACGAGCGCCAATTGATCATTGCTGCAACGAAGAGCATGCTACGACTTTAGCGAAAGATCTCACGCTTTCGAAGGTGATGAGTTGGATCGTTGCTGGAATAGGCCTTGGCTGCGCGGGTGAGAACCTTCTGGCCTGCGTTGCGAAGAGGCGTGCTGTTGCGTCGATGAAAACCACATGGCACTACGCAGTGAATGTTTACGCCATTCCCTATCGCACAGATTGGCCAGTTTCTGCGCACTGGGCCTGAATGTGCAATACCCCTCCTGCCGCAAGCATACGCCGCACGCGCAGCAATATGTAGCACAAGAACTGCACAGAAAACGATTGGATCCTGCGAGCGCCAATGGATCAATCATGCGAAAATGCGGGCCCTATGGTTTTCATAATGGTTGACGCTTCGGAGGATGATAAATCTGATTGCTGCCAACATCCGCCACGGTTGTGCTAATGAGAACCGTCTGGTTTTCAGGATGGGCCACTGCTGTGAAGATGGCAGCGGTTTGGTTGTTGCTATGGATCGCGGTTGCGATAATATTGCTCGTATGGCTTTCGAGACGGGTTGCAACTGTTGATGATTTGACTTTCAGAAGGGGCCACAACTTCGAATATGAGAGCCCGATACCTTTTGCAATGGATCGCTGCTGCTGCCCTCGCAACGCACAAACAACATACTCGAGGGATGATTATGTAGAAGACGAGAAGGTGGAATAACATTGTGGTCCCAGGTGTATGGGCGGAAACGCCGATGATAATAAAGGGATTCTGAACTGCTTCCCAGGAGGCCCACGAAAATCCCAAACGGCCCCAAAACCTCGAAACTGGATCTTCGACATTCGTCCACGGCAACAACAGGACTGACAACCGGCCGACCGGCCGAAACCGATAGGCCGCAAGCAATCGAATATATGTAAGCTTGCGATGAACAAAGACACCTGGCGCGCGCGTTGTCAGACAAGGTGTTCGATCTCTGGCGAGCTGCGGCGGAACGCTGGCCTAACACGGACGCATTGCCGTGATTAGAGCTGGCACCCGACAGCCAGGAAGGCGGCCGACCCGCGCGACACAAGAACCTCCGTTTCGGCGAGGGTATCGGCACAAATGGCTACGCACAGGAGGGAGGGAGGAGGGAGGGAAGAGGGAGGGGTGGCAGAGGTAAAAGCTCCCGACGCCACTGCCGCACCCTGCTAGCTGCCTAGGGCGTTCCTCCCCCTCCTCCTCCTCCTCCTCCGCCTCCTCCTCCGCTCCCTGCGAAGACAGGCTGCGAGAGTGGCGAAGAGAGCGAGGAGCGAGGAGCTCCGACAGAGCGAGGAGCTCCGCACGCGCAGAATTGCAAGACAGAGCTTCCGCACTTGCACCACACGCTGCGCTGCGCTCGTCTCCTCCAGCTCGTCCGCGGCGCCTGGCTTCCACTCTTGGGGGCCCAGAATAAGCCCCAAGCAGCACCCAAACGGCTCCATGAGACCCCATGGGGCTTCACAACTGCCTCCAAGAGACTCCTCAGAGGCGAAGAGACCCCAACAAGCATCCATGAGGCCACTGGCCTATTGCCCAGGCACGGTGGCTGGATGGGGCGAAGGCCGCTGGATCCGCCGCCCCCAGGCCCCCGTCCCAAAACCGTGTTGACAGACCCGGCGGTGACCTCGAAATCCGCACTGTCCGTCACCGCACGGTCTTGGGACCCTGGAGGCTCCGGTCGCCCGAGACATCCTCGGAGAACGACCCAAATCCCAAAACCCGAACCCCCACCGACTCACCACACGGTGTGGTCACCACCTCGTTTGGGTGCCCCCGACACTCGCGCACCGTGTTCGCGCGTCTTCCGGCGCGCGTGATTTTCAAAAGTCGCGGCCTGCGGGCCCTTTTCACCAGCCAGGCGAGGGGGGGACAGCCATGTAGCAGCCACAAGCACACACTGGAAGGGCGTGGCGACGCGACGACCACGCAACAACTGTCCGAACCGCATGGACCGACTGCGGCCGACCGCGAAGCAGCCTAATCGACAGAACCGTGGACACCCTGAGATTACTTTGTCTTATCTCCACGAACGGTCGTTACCCGGGGGTGGGGGTGGGGGGGGGACGGTCTTGGAGCATCAGGTAACGGTAACGCTTGGGCAGTGTCAGGGGTTCTTTTTCGCCCAATCTGGCTTTAAGAAGGGGTCCTATGATAAAAGATGGCTTCCCAAACGGCTCAAGATAGCGAAACACATGGTTCAAGATGGCTTCCAACATGCCTCCGAGAGGCCCGACGAGGGCCGCAAGACGGCTCCAAGTGCTCTCGGAGCCCCCTCAAGGCCCCCCAAGAGGCCAACATCATTAACGAACCGAGGAATATAAATGAGTCGTACCGTCTCGCCTTTTCGTTTTCGGTGCGCTTTTGAAGCCTGCAAATGGCCCCAAGATTGCCCAAGAGAGCTGCAAGATTGGCCCAATAGGTTCCTAAGACGGCCCCAAGAGCGCCCAAGATCGCCCCAAGAGGGCCCCAAGGGGCGGTTTCGAGGGCTCCAGGGGGGGGACCTCCTTCTTTTCACCGACGCCCACCACGATAGCCCCAAGAGCCCCTCCAGGGCTCGCTAGAGGCCCCCAAAAGAGCTCCAAGAGACCCCCCAGAGGGCCCCAAGAGGGTCCCGAGACCCCCCAAAAGAGCTCCAAGAGGACCCCCAAACCCTTCAAAAGATCCCCCAAGAGGGCTCCGAAAGGCGATTTCGAGGGCTCTGTCTTCATCCTCGTTGTCCTCCCTCCTCCTCCTCCGCCTCCTCCTCCTCCTCCGTAGCCATTTTGGCTCAAGGCTGATGCTTGGCGGCTGAGCCCGCATTGGCAGACACGGACACCGCTATTCCGCGGCAGAGCTAGGGCTCTTGGAGCCCGACATTTGCTTGCCAGTACTCTTGGGGCTCACTGGCGGCCCTTCACCGACACGACGTCGCCATGGCGGGCTGGGGATGCCGCTCCTGTTGTGCCTGGAACCGCGGGGCCAAGGCGAAGTGCTACCACTGCAGCGCCCCCAATCCTGGGCACCCAAGGTTCAGCGGAGGCCCAGGGCCTGGGCGCCGCGGCACCCCGCGCGGGGCATGGGCCTGGGGCCCAGGCAAGGCCGCCGCGCCGCCTTGGCGTGACGGCCCGTCGCAGCCGCGTGGGCCAAGCGGTGGTCGCCAGCCCGCCGTCCCACCGGCGGCGGCCGTGCTCGACGACCAGCAGCTGGAGTGCTGGGTTGCCATGGAGGACGAGAAGTTCGCGCAGCTCGCGTCCGTCCTGGGCCAGTCCTTGCGCGACAGGATCGTGTATCGGCGCCGCCTTCGCGCCGCTGGCATGGAAGATCCCCGCGGCAAGGACCTGCCGCAGCCCGTGGTCAAGGCCCAGCGCGTGGCCCTCCAGGCGACCCAGCGCCTCGAGCGGGCGCAGCAGGCTGCTCAAGAGGCCGCAGAGGAGCTCGAAGCGGCCGAGGCGCAGCTCGTCGCGGCTCGCGGCGACCTGGAGCAAGCCAAGCAGGACGCCGCAGATACCGCAGCTGGTGACCAGGCGGGACCCCCCGTGTCGGCGTCGACGCGGGACGACCTCGGGAAGCTGGCAGGCCTCGTCAACCAGCTCGTGGCCACCTACGAGGACCAGTTGGCCCAGCTGGCGGCGGGCAACAAGCCGCCCGACACGGGGCGCGCCGTGGCGCAGCAGACCAGGGAAGCCTTGCAGAAGCTCACCGCTGCCCTGCCCGCTGCGCCTCCTGCGCAGGCTGCTGTGGCTGCTCCTGGCACCCCTCCTGCCGTCCCTCCTGGAGGCCAGCCCCCCGCGGCCGCTGATGGAGGGCAGCCTGGGGGCCTGCCAGCTGACGTCGCCATGGGAGCGGCACCAGCTGGAAGTTGTGCCGACACCGCGCAGCGGCTCCGCGACAAAGCAGCGGCTGCAGAACGGCTACGGCGTGATGTCAGGAACGGGACCAGCCCGTACTAAGGCCAGAGTGTTCTTCGGGAATATCACCCAGTACGGCCCGCCCGCCCGCATGTTCCTGGAGGGGCGCGGCTCGGGTTTCGACGCCGTGGGCTTCTGCGAGGCCCATGCGTCACCTGCTGCCACCGAGCAGCAGCAACTCGACCTCCAGAAAGGCAACTGGAAGGTCGCGGCCACGCCTGGCATCCCTTCAGGTCGGTCCCTGGACGGCGTCGCAGGCGGCGAGATGCTGGCGATCAAGAAGACGTTGGCTGTCACCACCTCCGAAGGGCACCGACGCGCGTGCCAGGCGGCTGGTCGCCCGCCTCCCTTCTTCGGCTTTGTCCCGATGGTGTGGCACCTGCTACAAGGCAACGTCCTCGTCGTGGTGGCGTATCTGGTGCCTGGGCTTCGGTTTCGCGGAGCCAACCAGCAGCGGCTCGCCTCCTTGGCGGCCTTCCTCTCGCTCGTGAAGGACACCTTCGTGCTCGCCGTTGGCGACTGGGACGTTGAGCCGACCGACTGGGGCGAGACTGAATGGCTGCAGCGGCTCGGCGCCACCGTCATTGCGCCAGGGAACGTGCGCGCCACCTGCGACAAGGGCGAGGGCAAGCTGTGCGAACGTGCTCGCCTCGTCGGGCTACGCCGAGCACGTCAAGGTGGTGGCGGAGCCCGACGTGCCGCGGCGCACGCACTGCGGGCTGGTCATCGAGTTCACGTCTAGCAACCGCCGCTGGTACCACCAGGCGCCGGTGCTGCCTTCTGCGCTGCCCCTCCGCTGCCCGCCGAAGATCGCCGCTGATCCCAGCAGCCGCAGGCAGCGCAAGCTTGCGGCGCAGGCCAGCAGGCGCCGCGAGGCGCTGCCAGAGGAGCTGCGGGATTCCCACGACACGCTCTTTGCGGGGGCCGACGAGCCTGGCGGGCCAGCTGGGGCAGACGACCTCGGGCGCGTCCCCTTCCCGCTGCCCGACTACACGGCTCCGCGGACTGGAAGGTGGTGCAGTTTTGGAGGCGGCACCTTGAGTTCTGAACAGTGCTGCGGAGACGCGCTCTCCGCGGCAACCGCCCCTGTGGCGGTGCGGCGCACGTCCATGGATGACGATGTGGATCCCATGGACGTGCTGGCAGACGAGGACGACGCTGGCTTCGCGGAGCCTCCTGAGCACGACTCAGTCCCTAGCAGCAGCCCGGTGACGGAGGTGAAGTCGGCCTTGCCGCCCGCCGCCGAGGCTCGCGGCCGAGATGGCGGCGCGCCAGCTGACATTGAATATCTAATGAGCTCTGAGACGTGGTCCAGGTGCGCTGCCGCCGTGCAGGCTTGGAAGCCAAGCAGCCAGCGGCCCGCCGACCAGGACCATTTCCTGTTCGCGCGAGTGCCGCTCTCCACCGACCACGTCTCGCAGATGCACGCGCAGTGGGTCGGCACCCTTGAGGAGGCGCTGATCCAGACGGAGCAGGTCGCAGGTCGCAGTGCGGACACCATGCGGGGACGTGGTCAGGGCTATCGCCTCGAGGAGCGCAGGATGAAAAGCACCCCTGGCCGCGCTCACCTGCTGAACCCCGTGCTGGAGGGTTGGCAGACGCTGAGCACCTTGTTGGTCCGCCTCGTCGCGCTGCTGACAAACGGGTCCGACCCGCCGCAGCAGCGCGAGTGCGTCGCACGAGCCACCCCTTGTTACGAGCTCGGGATGAAAAGAACGACCATCATGTGTACTTCGGCCAGTCCTTGCAGGAGGATGCGCAAGACTGGCGCCTTCGTGCTGGGATTCTCTCGCAGCAGGAAATGCCGAACTTGGATGATGTGCAGAGGCTGCTTGCTTGCACCGAGCAGTGGTGCCACCGCCTCCTCGGCCGCAACCGTCACCGCGCCCGCCCTGGGTACGCCCGCTGGGCCAACGAGGCGCGGCAGCGGAGGCCAGGCATTGTCCACCGTCATGTCAAGGAGCCCGCGGCCGAGCAGCTGGAACCCCGCGGCCTCGCCAGGGACGCCGACGGAGACGTCGCGGCAAGGTCCATCGCCCAGCCCGACGCCATCCTGGAGAAGAAGACCCTGTACTGGGAGCGGGTGTGGAAGGACCCGGCGCACGACAAGGCCGACCTTGTCGAGGCCCTCAACGACACTCTCCGACGCGCTGCTGACGATGGCCTGGATCCGATCACGTCCGACCAGGTGCGCGCGGCCATGCGCCGCGCGAGTTCGGGCAAGGCGCGCGGCATTGACAACTTGAGCCCCGCTGACCTGCAGCGCATGCCCGAGGGCGGCTTCGACGGCCTCGCCTCGCTTCTCAACGCGCGCGAGGTCTCTGGGGTTTGGCCGTGGCAGCTATCGGCGGCCATTAGAGCCGCCATCCCCAAGCGTGATGGAGGGGGCCGCATCATCGGCATGCTGCCGACCACCTGCAAGGTCTGGGCGAAGGTGCGAGCTGCTGCCACCGACAAGTGGAGCGACGCCCAGGCCGAGTGGCGGGGCACCGCGCTGCGCGGATCCTCCGCCCTGCGGGCCGCGGTGCGCCGCGCCTGCATGGACGAGTGCGACGTGGAGAATGGGTGGTTCACCGCGACCCTCCTCCTCGACATCAAGAAGTTCTACGACTCGGTCTCCTTCGCGCGCCTGCTCGCGGCTGCTACGCAGCAGGGGTTTCATCGTGGCCGCGATGGAGGTGCAGCTGCGCGCAGGGCCCCGCCACTTGCGCCAGCGTGCCTGGCTTGGGCGCCGACTGCAGCCCGAGCGGTCAGTTGTGGCGGGCTCAGGCAACGGCGGGAAGCTGGCCCAGGTCATGCTAGGGCCTGCGATTGCTCGCGCGCATCGTGCGTGCGAGCGTGCGCAGCTGTGGACGTTCATCGACGACGCGGTCATCCGTTCAGTTGGCACGAGGCAGTCAGTCAAGGCCGACGTCTACCAGGCCGCGGTTGCGCTCAAGCAGGGGCTCGACGAGGCTGGCTTCGTGGTCTCCACCAAGACTGTGCTGGCGTGCTCGCACCCCCCGCTGGGGCGGGCCATCGCTGGCGGCCTGGTGCGGCTTGGTGTGCCTGCCTCGTACGCGGCGCACGCGATGGACCTCGGCGTCGACACGACCTGCGGGCGCCGTCGGTGCAGGAAGCGCGCCCAGAGGCGCTTCCAGGCTGCCAAGGGTCGGCTGGGCAGGATTCTCCGCGTGCGTAGGGAGGTCCGCATGGCCAAGATCACGAAGATGCTGTGGACGACGGGGGCGCAACCACAGGCGACGCACGGCCACCAGGTCGCTGGCCTCGCGCCCTCCTCGTTTTTGGCGCTGCGCCGAGGTGCCGCTGCCTCGGCTGTCGGCAAGGGCCCCGGCAGGTGCCTCACGTCGACCTTGGCGGCCTTGTATGGGCAGCGCGACCCAGTGCTGGAGCTGCAGAGGCAGGTCGTCAGCCAGTGGCTCGAGCTCTGGCGCACCCGGCCTGAGGTCCACGGTCGGGTTCGCCGCGCCTGGCCCCGCCTGCTCAAGGCCCTGTCGCAGGCAGGGCCGCATCGCTGGCGGCGCGTCCGCGGGCCAGCTGCCGCTGTGATCGCGGTGCTCCTGGACGCCGAGTGGCGGCCCGAGTCGCCCCAGCGCTGGGTCCACCCGACTGGGCCCAACGCGGCCGACGAGTGGATCATCCCTGGCCCCGACGCGGAGTGCTTCGCTGTCGCCGACGCGTCCGAACCCCTGGACGACCTCATGGCGGACTTCGCGAGGCGCATGTGGCAGCGGGCTGCTCTACACCCCGCAGGCGACAGCCTCTGCAACGGCGCCGACATGATGCACGTGCAGCGGGAGCTGAGGCGCTTCATGGCCGCGGGTGCGCTCGACCAGTGGGCGCGGACGGTCGTCATCGTCAGCGGCGGCCAGTGGGCGAGGGGGCGCCAGCAGCAGGCAGGATACGATTCCGAGGTGACTTGCCAGCGCTGTGGCACTGAGAAGGAAACGTCATTTCATCGGATTTGGAGTTGCCCGTGCAACACTGGACATGCAGATTTAGACGCCAGTGAATGCTTGATTGTGCGTGCGAGGGCGGGCTGGGAGCAAGACCCCGCCTTGTGGTTGCGCGGCGTCTGCCCCTCCGACCTCACCACGCCCGTCTTCGACGAGCGCCAGGCGGACTGGGTCGAGCACCAGGGCGAGCCGTTCGACAGCTGCAGGATCGAGGGCGAGGAGGTGCTCGACGTGTTCGGCGACGGCTCGGGCGGCCCGCACACAGCCGATCCTCGGCGACGCCGTGTCGGAGCTGCTGCTGTCGCTCTTCGGCCTGATGGAGATTCGTGGTCGCCTGCCGCCATCGTCTCTGGCGGGCTCCGCGGGCGCAGGCAAACTGTGACTAGAATTGAGTTGCTCGCTCTTGTTCTGTGCCTCGAGAGCTCGACAGGAAAAATACGCTTTCACACTGATTGCAGGTCTTTGTTGGACGGTTGGAGTGCTGGCCGTCACACCTCGTGTATAGGCAGTAATGGAGATCTTTGGGTCCGCTTGCAGCAGGCGTTGATCAAGCGAGGTAGCAATAGCAGTGACATTGATGTGGTTTGGGTCCCGAGTCACCTGGATGAAGACCCTGAGCGGATTGTGAATGAGGGCCTCCAGTATGTTGCTGCTGAACACATCTGTGCTGATAAGGAGACTGGGGCGGCGGTTGCGCGGTCGAGCCGATGCATGATCGGTGATGCGCCTCGCACCGACGAATGGAATGCGATCGCGGCGCTCGTGAGGCGTCGGGCCCGTCGTGCGCTCACGGAATCGATTTCCCAGGATCCGTGGAATTCGAAGCGTGTCGAGCGCGTCCGCCCTCCTGCTCAGTCTCGCCTCCAGCTCACCCTTGCACGGAGCCCCCACTCGTGGACTCGGATCCATGGGCGATGGGCTTGCACGTCGTGCCGCCGAAACGCGCCCTCGGCTCAGGTCCTGGAAGCCGCCAACGCCCCCTGTGTTCCTGGAGGGGGCCCTTTCCCTCGGGCGTGTCGGCGGTCCAGGGCCCGATTTTCTCTGGCAAGGTGCAGATCCATGAGTCGCACGTGATGCACAAATGGTTTGAGTTTTCCCTGTATTTCATGTTCCGTTTGTGGCAAACCGGCGTCCACGGATTTCCGCCATTTCCATCAGGTTTGCCAACTCACGCGGAAGGGTAAAGAGAACCTTTCCCGAATTTCGAGAGGCCGCCGCCCGTGCCCCCAAGGAGCCCCCAAAGCCGTTGCGTTGGCACAGAGGGCCTTCGCTGGGACGGCCTCGAAGCCCTCGGGGCGGGCCGCGGCGTCCCACGGCTCCTCCTCCTCCTCCTCCTCCTCCTCCTCCTCCTCCTCCTCTTCGTCCTCGTCCTCGTCCTCGTCCTTACCCTGATCGTCTCGTGGTCGATGTCGTCGTGGTCGTGGTCGAGGTTGCGGTCGTCATCGTCGTCGTCGTCGTGGTCGTGGTCGTGGTCGTGATCGTGGTCGTGGTCGTGGTCGTGATCGTGGTCGTGGTCGTGGTCGTGGTCGCGGTCGTGATCGTGGTCGTGGTCGTGGTCGTGGTGGTCGTCGTCGTGGTCGTCGTCGTCCTCCTCCTCCTCTTTCCCTCGCCCCCACGCGGGCCCTAGAGATGGCCCGAAGAGGCCCTCCAAGGCCATCCCCTTGCTCCAGATCTCTCTGTTCACCCAGGTTGCCCGTTTTGTTTCACTATATATGATCGCGGGCTCAGGGTCCTCGCCCCCCCCCCCCAGATGGGATGGGTCCCAGGGTCCTCGCCCCCCCCCCCCGATGGGATGGGGGGAGGAGGAGGAGAGGAGGAGGAGGAGGAGGAGGAGGAGGAGGAGGAGGAGGAGGAGGAGGAGGAGGACGACGACGACGACGACACCGACAACAACGACGACGACAACGATGACGACGACGACGACAACGACGACGACGTCGAAGGCACCACCAGCGGCGGCGGCGGCGACGTCGAGCACCGGAGCTTTCAACATGACGCCAACCCCAACACCCCAGCCACACGCCGCACCCACACCGCACCCACAGAGGGGGAGGGAGGCGGGGAGGAGGACCATGGCGTCACCCCGCACACACCCACAGCAACACACCACACACACACCATCCACAAAGGGGGGGGGGGAGCAACCACGCCACGCCCACGCCCACAGGGGGGGGGCATCGCGCGGGGGGGGGGGGCGATGGCATTAGCATTGGGGGGGGCCTAAACCCTCGACCATATATATATATATATATATATATATATATATATGTCTCTTCGTCCTTCTTCCCGTCAGCTCTCATGGGCAAGGTTTCTGAATGGGCCGGTGGGGATGTTTTTTTTTTTTTTCGGTCGCGTCCGCGAGCGAAGGCGCAGGCGGAGTCAGAAGCGTTCTGGTGTTCCGGGGCGCGGTCACGGCCGAATTAGCTACTGGGAGCGCCGCAGGCCGGCCGGGCCCACTCACCAAGCAGCTGCTGTGCTGCGCGGGAAAGCTGACAGGCTGAGGGCACCCAGGGAAGCTCGGGCAACGTGCCACCTAGCAAAATGCCAGGACATTCGGTGTATGCCATGCGGTCTGGTGGGGATGCGCGAAGCGTGAAGAATATTACGCAACAGCAATGGACATCTCGCCGCCAGGAGCGCTGGCCCCCCCCTGCACCCCTTGGACGAGGACCCTGGGGGGGGGGATGGCCCTCCCCTTCGAACTCCGGGGCCCACGCCGCTGCTCCGGGTGCTGCTCCTCCTCCCGCGGCTGCCGAACACCTCCCCGCCCGCTGCGGGGCAGCCTCTGCCCCACCCGAGGAGGAGGAGGAGGAGGAGGAGGAGGAGGAGGAGGAGGAGGAGGAGGAGGAGGAGGAGGAGGAGGAGGAGCGTGGCTCCTGCGAGAGGCACTCCGGTGGCGCGGCGGCCCCCGTGGCCCCGATGGCGCAGGGCGAGCCCACCTGCGCGTACAGGCAGCCGTCCTCCGCCCGGTGCCGCTCGTCCAGCGCGGAGACGAGGGCGCTGCCGTCCTCTCGCTGGCGGCGTGTGGGCGGCCCCCTCTCGGCGTCGAGAGCAGAGCGTCAGAGCGAGGGGGCCGAGCGGTCGTACACCCTCCAGGGGTGCGTGGGCGAAGTAGGACTCCGCAGTGCGAAGTCTGCTTGCTTGCTTGCTTGCTTGCTTGTTGCCTTGTTTGAGTGTTGTATGTTTGTACGTTTGTACGTTTGCATGGTTGTTGAACACTATTTCTTCTTAAGAATAATTATTGTTGGGGCCCCTGGTGCACGACCCCCCCGCCGCGCCTAGGCCGCAGCCTCATTTTCATCATTTTCGTGAGGAAGTCTCAGGCAAAACGGGGGGGTCCGGATCCGGTTGTGTTGTTACGATCGGTTTTCCCTTGCAAAAAATAAGCTAAAGTGGACATTTCTTGTTCTAACATAACCAAACTTCAAGAATCCCTTGCAAAAAATAAGGTAAAGTGGACATTCGCGCGCGCAAGACGAAATCCTTCCAAAACCTTAGTTTTCGTAGCGATTTTAACATAAAAACATCAAAAAACCAATGGTTTTTCAAAAAAAATTGTCAAAATTTCATCCCGCGCGCTCTTGCGGATTCGTAGGAAACCCAACACTTTTTAATCATTTCTGTCAAACGGGCTTTTGCGAGCAACTTTTTCGAACTTCTGCAACAACGGTTGCGCACCTGCCAGGGCCATCATCCCTGTCAAATAATACCATGCGGGACACATTCGTTTTTTCTTCGCGCGCGCACGCCGTCGTCGTCGGCCGCGGGGCCCTGAATAGTAGCCACGGTCGTCCGCATGCCACGAAGTGAAGTGTCCGAACGTCATAGGGCGGGAAGCTGGGTGTGGGTGGTGGCGAAGAGTCGTTTGGAAATTTGGTAGAGCTTGAACCGGCCCCCCCACAAAGTGGGGGTATTGCCCGCCTCCTATGAAAACCCTGGCACTGGTGAGAACGGAGTGTCCCCACGTGCTAGTAATTGTTGTTGTTGTTGTTGTTGTTGTTGTTGTTGTTGTTGTTGTTGTTGTTGTTGTTGTTGTTGTCGTTGTCGTTGTCGTTGTCGTTGTCGTTGTCGTTGTTGTTGTTGTTGTTGTTGTTGTTGTTGTTGTTGTTGTTGTTGTTGTTGTTGTTGTTGTTGTTGTTGTTGAACATGTATGACCAAGAAATTGCTGGATCCCCCATATCCGCTTTGGTGCTCTCGCCTCGGCGCCGGCTGCAGTTCCTTTGGAATTGGAGCTCACGCTCAAGCGCTTCGGGCTACCGCCCAAACCGACCCCCCGACAAGAACAGCGCTCAAACGCAATACTTCCTTGCAGTGTACTCTGAGAGGCCCTGGCCAGAAACTCAGGAGGGGCGCTCTCGCCGAAGACTTCCTCGCGATTTCGCACCATGCGGGGGTCCTTCAGAGCAGTCTTGCCGCTCTTCAGAACCAAATTGCAGCTCGCGGATGCCAGAACGGCTTGTTCGCATGAGACCTCTGTGCAATTCAACACCGCGTGGGGGTCCTTCACAACACTCTTGCTGCAACTCGCGGGTGCCGGAAAACGGCCGCTTCGTTCGCGACTACCGTGCCATTCAGCAAAACGGGGGAATCCGTCAGAACAGTCTTGCCACGACTTGCGGAGGCCCCAGGACGCTCCAGCTCGGGAAGCGTATCAAGGCCCTCCCGCCCCCGGGAGGCCCCAGGAGGCATCTTCTGCGCCAGGATCCGGCTTCGGGGGGTGCTCTTCGGCCCCGCCCGACCCTTCGAGGAATCCCCCGGAGAAGCGTGTGTCTAGCTTGGGATACGTGTTCGGGTAGCGCTTTTCGGCACCCCCGCCCCCAAGAGGCCCCCAAAGGCACTTTGTGAGCGTTTTCTTCTTCGGCTTTTCGACACTGGGCGGAAGAAGGGGGGGAAGGGGGGGTCTGGCTCCGGACCTCTGCTGAATGCGACTGTTTGCAACAGTGCGTCCTGTGGGGGAGGCCCCACCTGCTCGAAACAAGCGCCCCAAACAGCCAAGATCTATTCGATGGGGGGGAGAGGGGGGGGGGGTACGAGGTCCCGCGCCGATCGGCAAAACAGTGAACAAAAAACGACCGCAAGGAACTTTTCTGTCTTGGGATATCTGTGTTCGGGGGGGGGCCTTTTCGGTCGCCCGTAGGCATCACCCCGAGAAGCATCGCCCCCTACCGGCTTCGCCGCTCATGTCCTGGGGCTCGTGAGTCCTGTCCTGGCCCCCGAGATACAACGACAACGGCTCCCGCAGGATACTCTCGAATGGGACTTTCTAGCAATTTATTCAAAGACGCCGCGCCCTCGACATCCAGGAATCACGCTCTCGCTCTGGCCTCTCTCACGATTTACTTGGGAATTGCGCTGTCGCTCAAGACTTCCTCGCAGGTCATGCAGGATGCACGCTTCAGCGACCCTCGCTGTGGATGCCCCACGACTTATGTGGAACTCGCGCTATTGCTCGATATTTCCTCGCAGTTCATGCAAAACACACACTTCAACAACCCGCCTGCTCGACCTGGTCGCCTGGGCCCGCCTTCCCGACCCGCCCGTTTCGGTCTACCCCGATCTGCCCGTCTGGTTCTGCCACGTGCTTTCTGTTCCCAGCCCCCTCTCCTGCTACTTTCTCTCGTGTTCCATCCTCCTGCCTCCCCTTGTCCCTTCCGTCCGTCCGTCCTCTCCTCCCCGGCCTTAGGGGCTGCACGAGACACACCTTGGAGGTACCAAAGCACATAAACCCGCAAGGGGGTACGATCGAAGACGACGAGGGCGGGCATCGAAGGCTTAGGATATACGTGTTGAGTGGCACGCTGGCAAATCAGAGCGACCAGTCTTACAGTGATTGTTGTTATTATTGCTGTTATTGCTGCTGTTGTTGTTGCTGTTGCGTTCTCCTGTCGAACGAATACATATTGTTGATCCCCCCTGCTCGGTAACCATTGTATGTATTCAATTGGAAAACTCATCCCGGGGCGCACACCCTGTTTTTTCCAAAAAGGAACCTGGGTGTCAACAAACCGCGCCCCTGGCCCTCGGGTTACAACAACAGCGGCTCCCGCCCGATTCTTCCTCATAACGTATTCCCAGATCGCTTTCCAGCGCGGCAATCCTCACAATTGAAACGGGAATCGAACTCTCGCGTGGGACTTCCTCGCAATTTATTCAACGACGCCGCGCCCTCGACACTCAGGAACCACGCTCTCGCTGTCGTTTCCCCAGGACTTATATGGGACTCGCGCTATCGCTCGATACTTCCTCGCGGATCATGCAGGACGCACGCTTCAGCAACCCGCCTGCTCGAACTGGCCGCCTGGGCCCGCCTTCCCGACCCGCCCGTTCGGGTCAACCCGCCCGATCTGCCTGTCTGGTTCTGCCACGTGCTTTCTGCTCCCAGCCCCCCTCCTGCTACTTTCTCTCGTGCTCCATCCTCCTCCGTCTCCCTTGTCCCTTCCTTCATCCATCCTCTCTTCCCCTGCCTTAAGGGCTGCACGGCCTACACGTCGCAGGAAAGCGAGCACCCCGAAATGGGATACGATCGAAAACGAAAAGGGCGGGTATCGAGGGTTTGAGATAGACGTGTTGCATGGTACGCGGGAAGGTACGAGCGAACAGTCTCAAATTCATTTGTTGTTGCTGTTACAATTATTGTGATTGTGTTTGTTGTTGCCGTTGTCGTTGTCGTTGTCGTTGTCGTTGCTGTTGTTGTTGAAGTTAGCGCTGTTGTTCGTGTTGAGGTCGTTGTCGTTGTTTTTGTTCGTAGCAACCCACGTCCCGGCCCCACTTGGTTGTTGAGATCTTGTTTTCCTAGGAAAACAAAATTGGTAGTTTCAAGGGTAGAAAAGAAATTGGGGGGGCACGAGCTCGCCCTACGGGGCCGGAACGCATATGCACTGGGCCGGGTGAGGCGTTGGCACACAGGGAGCACAGGCAACCGACAACTCCTGAGGATTCGGAACGTTTTTCCCAGATTATGATAGGGCCGGGGCCCGTGAGCAGGCAACCCGGGGCCGGGGGAGGCGTGTGCGTGCGGGGGCGCGCGGTCGACAAACCAATGTTGAGGAATCCAGGGAACCACTGAGAGTCCTTAGGAGGTCCTCAGGAGTCCTCGGGAGTCCACAGGTGTTCCCCCGGATTCCTCAAGAGTCCCCAGGACTCCTCAGTAGTCCTAAGGAGCCCTCGTGGATTCCTCAGCACTCCTGAGGAGTCATCAAGGATTCCTGGAGGATCCCTAGGGATCCTTGAGGATCCCCCAAGATTCCTGAGAATTCCTGCGGAGTCCTGAGAAGTCCTCAATAGTCCTGCGGGATCCCTCAAGGATTACTCAGGATCCCTACGGAATCCCGACGAATGCTGAAGAGTGCTGAGGACTTCTCACAGATTCCTCCAGATTCCTCGGGGGTCCTCAGGATGTTCCAGGGGATCTTCAAGATGCTGCAGGGACTCCTCCAGATCCCTCAGGGTTCCTTCGGAGTCTTAGGGATACAGGAAGTGTCCTGAAGAGTCTCCAGGACTCCAGGACTCCTGAGGTTTCTGAAGGATCCTCACCGATCTTGCAATATTCCTACGATACTGTGCGGTTTCCTTGTGACTCCGAACTGTCTCTAAGGATGCGTGATGACTCCTGAGGTTGCCCGAGGACTCCTCGCGATTACAAATGATTCCTGGGATTCGTAAGGATCCACGAACATTGCGCAAGTTCCCGACATACTCAAAAAAGGTCCTCTCGGGACCCCGAAGCATTCCGCAGGATTCCTGAAGGCTCCTGCCAGACCTTGTGGATTCTCGTGGACTCCGACAGATTCCGAATAATCTCTAGAAGGGCCTCCATGGATTCCGAAAGATTCCTGAATGGGGACTATTACGAAATCCGCACGGGAATGCCTAGTGGTTCGTAAGGGTCCCTGAAGAGATCTGAAACTTCCTGTTGCTTCTAAACGGTTCAAATGGTGTCCGGATGATCCCCTTGGGTTTCTTGAAAATCCCCTAGCGTTCCCTTCGGTCCCCCTAAGGTTTCCTAAAG